AGCCTGGGGACCCAATAACCCCATAATTTCCCCCAATAACCCCATTTTTTCCCCCCCAGGTAACGTGGAGGAGGCCCGGCACATCCTGCGTGGGTTCGAGGCCGCAGTGCCCGGCCTGGCCACGGTGCCCTGAGCCTGGGGACCCCCATACCCCATTATTGACCCCAATAACCCCATAATTTCCCCCAATAACCCCATAATTTCCCCCAATAACGCCATTATTTCCCCCCCAGGTAACGTGGAGGAGGCCCGGCGTATCCTGCGTGGCTTCGAGGCCGTGGTCCCCGGCCTGGCCATGGTGCCCTGAGCCTGGGGACCCCATAACCCCTTTAGGGACCCCATAACCCCTTTAGGGACCCCCATAACCCCATTATTGACCCCAATAACCCCCCCCAATCTCAGGTAACGTGGAGGAGGCTCGGCGCATCCTGCGCGGGTTCGAGGCCGCCGTGCCCGGCCTGGCCATGGTGCCCTGAGCCTGGGGACCCAATAACCCCATAATTTACCCCAATAACCCCATAATTTACCCCAATAACCCCACAATTTCCCCCCCAGGTAACGTGGAGGAGGCTCGGCGCATCCTGCGCGGGTTCGAGGCTGCCGTGCCCGGCCTGGCCATGGTGCCCTGAGCCTGGGGACCCCCATACCCCATTACTGACCCCAATAACCCCATAATTTCCCCCAATAACCCCATAATTGACCCCAATAACCCCATAATTTACCCCAATAACTGGCAGGTAACGTGGAGGAGGCTCGGCGCATCCTGCGCGGGTTCGAGGCCGCCGTGCCCGGCCTGGCCATGGTGCCCTGAGCCTGGGGACCCCATAACCCCTTTAGGGACCCCATAACCCCATTATTGACCCCAATAACCCCATAATTTACCCCAATAACCCCATAATTTACCCCAATAACCCCATAATTTACCCCAATAACCCCATAATTTACCCCAATAACCCCATAATTTCCCCCCCAGGTAACGTGGAGGAGGCTCGGCGCATCCTGCGCGGGTTCGAGGCCGCCGTCCCCGGCCTGGCCATGGTGCCCTGAGCCTGGAGACCCCCATAGTCCTTTAGGGACCCCATAACCCCTTTAGGGACCCCATAACCCCATTATTGACCCCAATAACCCCATAATTTACCCCAATAACCCCATAATTTCCCCCAATAACCCCATTTTTCCCCCCCAGGTAACGTGGAGGAGGCCCGGCGCATCCTGCGCGGGTTCGAGGCCGCAGTGCCCGGCCTGGCCATGGTGCCCTGAGCCTGGGGACCCCCATAGTCCTTTAGGGACCCCATAACCCCTTTAGGGACCCCCATACCCCATTATTGACCCCAATAACCCCATTATTTACCCCAATAACCCCATTATAACCCCATAATTTACCCCAATAACTGGCAGGTAACGTGGAGGAGGCTTGGCGCATCCTGCG